TTTTTCGTCTTTTTTTCACTAAAAGCTTTGAAATCCGCGCATCCATTGAAACTGTGTCTTTATAGAGATATCAACGCAAAACATTAAGTTGAAAAAAGCTAGGACTGTGTCATTACCTAACGTTTTGCTTACTAAAGAAAATTTAAAATAATGCACCGACAATGATGTTAAAAGATTGAGTGGCCTACTTAAGGAAGAATAAAACATTTTGAAATGATGAATGTTCTGAAATGATTTATAGTTTCAAAAAGCAACTGGGACATTAATTCTTATTACATCATGTACAAGGATACTTTCATGGATTTCAATATCAATCAGACGACACTTGATCAGCTGATCAGAACGTCTGGGCGGTAAAAACAGTAAATTATTGCCACTTATTCTCGCGGAGGGGGAGGGGGCTGGGGTAACATAAATGTAAGGGAAAACAATGTCCTTGTGTTTTGACAATGTTTACCGTGTCACATCATCATGTACAGAAACAAGACATTTTATGACGAAAGAAAATTTACCAAATTAGTCAAAGTCAGGTAGTACAATATGCATATTCAAATAACACTCGTTAATTATAGCTGAAATGTTAAAAACAAAGTCGCCTTTGAGTCATATAAAAAAAGCCGCCGAAATAATTTTAATGTTTAAAAATTTCTTAAGCTAGTAAAAAAAATGAAATATATTTATAAATACTGTATGAATTGACGTTTATAAACGCCACAAAAGTTTTGGGGGGTTTTTGGCTTTTTTGTTTTTTTTGGGCAAAAAACCTGTTGCTTTGCTTTTTTAAAAAATTTGTTAAAAAAATGCCATGTTTGTCCCTGTTTTTTCGGGTTTTTGCATCCTCTTTTTCGGCCTAAACCATAATCCGACCTTTGGGTTTTTGTGAAACCCCAATTTCAATTTTATATGCCAAAAAGGGGAAATTTTTTAAAGAATCAACCAAAACTTATTTATTATTTGCTTCTGTAGCGGGATTCGAACTCGTGTGATATCTGGATTGGACGGACCATGCACCGACGATAGTTTTTCATCCAATTTTATGCAGTCATATCCTTTATATTTTAAATGAACCCTGACTTTAAAATGTAACACTTTAAATTTGTATTACATTTTTATTTCGGAGAAAAAAAATGTCTTTTTGGCCGCATTTTGGGTAGCCACCTGGGCCATCCCCGCAGGTTTTATAGGGCCAGTGTTCGCTATTTTAGTTTTTTACTTTAATAGGGTTGAAGCGAAAGCATGGGGTTTGTCCCAAATGCGCGAAATGCCAAGGGTGGTCTATCCATGCTTTGGTCGCAAAACCCAAGTTGGTTTGTCTGACGCGGTATTATTTTTTTATTATCTGATTTGAATGAAATCCTTTGTACGATGATATAAGAAGATAAATACTCCCAAAATATATCACACCAGAGATATTACAGAATAATTAATAATGAAACTGTCATATGCGTGATGCATATATTTCCGTCTTATGTTTAAACGTTTAAATGTACATGTTACTGGCCTGAAATGAAATTTGCGATCACATTTTTGTACTCGTGACAGTGGTCTATAATAAATTATATTCAATGCACTTTTTCGACGAAATAATAAAACAAAAAAGATAAATTTAACTGCGTTTTAATATCTAAATTGACACGTTAAATCTCGTTCTTCAGTGTTTAATTGATGATTCAACAAGTTTCCAAATGTAAGGAAAGCGTTACGTCTAGTTTGCGCATTGAAAGGTCTTGACCTGATTTGTTAATTTATTGCAAACGTGTCTCGTCACAAGCTTTGTCATAATCAATCTGAAAATACACCCTCAGTTATTTTTTAAAGTACCTGAAACAATGATTATAAACAGATAAATTTAGATGGCTATAATTGCAACCACAGCTTTAATGTAATTAAAGCCGTGTTGCAACCAATGTTGACCGTGTTGCAAGCTTATACAAGAAAAGCATTGATGCAAAGCATCAAAGGGCGTCCAAACAGCAGGTGCAGATGAACTAGTAGATATATGATGACAAGATATTCTTATAAACTTTTCAATGGTTCATTGGGTTTTACCAGAATTGTATATCACTTTTGAATGAACGGACGAAAGACATTGTTCATTATTTATAACTTTGATCGGCATGCTAGAAATTAGAATATTACTTGTTATTTCTTTATGATCGTGGTTATTAATAGCAACGGATATACATGTATACAATCATTTATAATCCATATGTGTAACGCATGATCAACACCATACTTGTGTAATTGTCCCTTATTATGTTATTGCTATTAACGAGGACCCCCTCTTAAGGTATCTGTTCACACTAATAACAATATGACACTTGTACGTTATATTACCATGTTGATCATGTTGAGCATAATTGTTTATTATACAATAAATGTAATTTCTATTTTAATAAAAAAAAATACAGATTTTATGAATATTGTTTTCTTTTCTTTTTGTGTGTGTGTTTTATGCGCTATTTTAATACTGAGTTTTTACGTTTACTACTATTTTAAGAATTCAATTGTCATAATGATCGACGATTATAAGTCAAAACTTAACTGGAAAAAGTCAGTAAATCATGGTTAATCTTTCAATTTATAATATTGTTTATTCTTAAACCATATACATGTACATATGTATTTTTCTTTATCATTTTTTAAATTATCAATCAATTGAATAATTCATAAAATCTGATTTGTAACTTTGAATAATTCCTCGGAATCTTTACTAAACACGAATAACAAATTATATAAAATGTTTTAAAGTTGATAGTGTCATATTAATGCCATAAAAATGTACATTTTTTTCTCAATTATTGTACATATTTATTGTTTTTATCTCATATAGATAAAATATAACATGCGATTTGTGTTGTTGGTTTTTTTTTCGAATTGTATGTTTATGTATAATAATGATCAATCAATTCGAGATTTGATCTGTGTGTATTAATTATTGTAACCAAACTAAGTGACAAACATTCATTTTGAAAAAAAGCTTACTTATCTGTAAAATATTTGTTCTGTTCTGTAACGATATCTACTCCAAAACCGGGAGAGACCGGACAATAAACGTGTGGTACTATTCGCCGTTCATTAGTAAATCCCGGGAGAGACCGGAAATTACCGATAGGAGTACATCCCTCTATAAATAGATTTTCGGAATATTTAGGTCATCAACTCATCATTCTATTAACAGCTTTCGGAATAATATACCATAATAACCCACTGTGTACTACAAAATGATAAGCAAAAATACCCCGAAGAGCGCGATTTATTGACGGAAAAGGTTATTTCATTTGAAAATGTTTGCATTGCGAAATTCTCCAGTTCGCCATTCATTGTACATATCGCGACTAATTAATAATCAAGCACCCACATACCGATCGGAATGATCGGCTTTTATTATTGGCAACTATAAAAGGCTCGAGAAGTTGCTGTCGCCCTTTCACAAAATCTCATTTCATTCCAATAGGCGCCGCGCTTCGGCGCGGAGGCCAATAAATTATTCTTTACCTCAATCGGACATTTCAGGACACCTAACTGATTAACAATTATTGAAATTTATAAACATGTGGGTTATAAATTGTAATGTTCCTTTTCTGGAGTATGACGGGAAGGGGTTGAAAATATGTTCCTGAAATGATACTGTTTTGAGAACTTGTATTAAAAATGCATAGACGACAAAAAGATACATTAAAAAGTGTTTTGAACAGACCATTCATGAATAGAAGAAATTTATCAAAATAAATAAATTGTAGATCATGACATAAATAGCATTTACTTAATTATTCTGGCTTTACAAAGTTTTTTCCCGATTTTTTTAAGCATGCGTGCTCAGGTTTTGTCACATAGAACATGTGTCGCCTTGGGAAGTTGCGTATGCCGTACGTCCTGCTATACCGGTATATCATCTTTATTTATTTACGTGCATATAATCACAATATAATATAACCTTATGAAAGAGATTATTGTGTCAAAATATATGTGAAAGAGACGGAAGTAGAATGAAACAAGGTGTCGAGTAATAAACGCAATTCTATATGTCTATTTTTAACATCATTTCCGGTACTTATGCATTTTTGACAAAACCTTAGAAAAGCAGACGATAGGTGAAGACCGTGACATGTGACATAAAACATTTACTTTGACTATCAGCTTGAGATGCTGTGTTCATGTCACCGTAGCAATTTGTATGTTGTCACTTTTTCCTCTTTAAATGTTTACTTTTTAGTCTGCATATAGTGACCATGTGTCAAATGTTTATTTATATATATGTGCAGTGGAAAAGTCATCAATTGTATATAAACGTGACATACTGGTCATGGACGGTCATTGACCTAACTGTATGCTGACCCACAATGTCAAATGCATGCAGCTTTAAAAAAGCCCATGACACCTGTATGTGCATGCATATATCACTTAATATACAGAAAACAGTCTACTTTACACCAAGCAAACAACAATTTATGATGCGATGACCGAATGATTGTCTTAAGGGTTCTCTTTTACGGCTAGTATGAGATAGGGGCATGCTTAAATGCCTAAGATCTTCCGGTTTCTCCTGAAATTGGTATCAAAAGAATTCCCAAAGAACGCATAAAAAAACGGCAAAATTGAAAATGTTGCAGACTCGGTTTGAACCTGTTAGAAAGTGCAAGTAACCGTCCACGCCCCCTAGCACCGGCTTAAGGAGAATTTAACATTTAATCATGGTAATGGTGAAATTTGAATTTAGAAACACCCCCAGATCAAGGCAAGAACATTAAATATTATATACATTCTTCTTGGCGAGAATTAAAACAAAAAATAAAAGTAGCTCCCTCCGCTGGTATAATCATTAGTTTAATTTTAACCATTTATCTTATGTTGCTTTAATGTGATACACATTCAAGAATGTGTTTCTTCTTTCAATACTTTATACCAGATCACCACAGTTCTTTTTTCAACCTTTACAGGCCGTTAAAAACAGAAATCATTTTGAAATTTTATGATCAACAAAAGCAAATAAGTCATAGTCTCATCAAATCTTTTATTATACAAATATAGTACATTTATAATATATATATACACAGAATAAAATAGTTTTCATTTAAAATGTTAGAAATAACAATTTACAATTTATACTGCATAATATGTTACATAATGTATTGTTAACTGACAATATAATTGAAAGAAATATTGTTAAAGTCAGAAAAAAAGTTTGCAACCGTTAGCAAACATTTCCTCTATTTCAATATTGCAACCTTCCCTACAAACAATATTAAATTGCCATGTATAATAAAAATGGTGTATATATACATTGTTCTATTGCAATTCTTTAATATTAAATTGCAGTTGTCAACTTTTTAAAATAAAAACCAAAGTTTAAACTAAAAGATAATTATACAAGCAGATTGCTTTTATTATTTAAGATATACAGCAATTAACAGTTTTTCTTTTGCTAGCTTTTCTGACATAATCTAGCTAACTTTATTAAAACATGCATATATAGACTTCCTTAAGTGGTCAGAGCAGATTTAATATTTTGTCATAAAAATGCAATAAATTATATACTTTTCAACATAAGTCTGGAATAATTTAGTTTCAAACAAGATTTTAAGCATAACAAAGCAAACTGAAACATTTTTAAAATTCTTGATCAACGATAAAAAGTGATTGTTCTTAGGATTTTTTGACAATCTGAAATATTCAAGCAGTGCATATATATGCATTATGATTCCTTACATTGCCAAAACCATAACTGATAGAGAGAAAAAAAACTTGCCACCAATATAGCACCCAGCCAAAGTGTACATCTATATGCAATGTACATCCACAAAGTGTACATAATGCAAAGTGTACATCTATGCAGTGTGCATCTACAAAGTGTACATATACATGTATAAAGGGTACATCTATGAGAGTGGGGTGGATACAATTGTACCAATCCTGTTGACAGTAAAAGGGTAAATAATTTAACTAATATAAAATTGCAGTTGGACATATCCATTTAAGAAATTTTAGCAAGTAAAAGATAGTACATAAAAAAATGTGTAATTATATAGCCTTCAGTTTAAGACACAAAAAAAATCACATTTAAAACAGAACTGAAATAAGCATATAATATTAAGCAAACAAAGTTAAATAGAAATACAATTTCCCATTGCAATTCTTATGTCCATCACTTTAAAAAAAACACAGCATAATGGTTATTTATTGATTATATATATGTAGATAATTGATGAAATTACTGCACATTAAGTATTTATGCAAATTTCAATTTGTATAAAACAATACAAAGTGAAAAAAGGTTGATGAATACTAAATTATGACACAACCAATGAAAAGTACATGGATTTTTCATCAACAGTCTTTTGTGTATGAGACTCCAGACAAAAATGAATTTTATGAGAAATATGGTAGAAAATAAAAACTATGATGAAATAAAATGGACAATAAATGAATACGAAAACGCAATATATCATCTCCAAGATGAAATAAATACCCTCTTGTTTCATCTTTAAGATTCAATATAATATTATATTCTCTTTAAAGGGACTCCACTGAGGATTTTTTTACCATGATAGGACTGAAAATATTTTTTTCCTGAGATTTATAAACCATTGAATGTATTCTTTTCTGAGATTTATTCATCATTTAATGTAGATCTGGATCAATCAATAACTCAAAGAGCAAACTTTCATAGAATTTGCCAAGTTCCTTGATATGCTAGTTGATCTTTACATTGTACATGTATCTTATTTCAAATTCGGGTTTTCCTTAAGGCTTTTGAACCTCAGTGGAGTTCCTTTAAGTTATTAATACTGATACATTGAATTACATTAAAAAATAATTAGAATTTCTTTAACTAGAAACTAAATAAAGTATTTTCAAAGATAGGAATTTACCACAATCAGTCACATCTTTTTGACATGTATATACATAATACACTTTATGAAATTTATAAAAAGAAAATTTGGCAATAATTATGGTCGGGCATGGAACCAAGGCAACTAATGCAATCTTAGTTTAAATTAACCAAAGACATACCGGTAGTACCTAAATGTGTAATTAAATGGTCTGCCCGCACTGTATCCAGCTGAAGATCCTTCAACGAAAACAAAAGTGAAGGAAATATAAAACTTCAAGTGACTGGAAGAATGTTTTTATTATTACTGGGTAGTTTGTACTTGGCAGCAGCTTGTAGTGATTTTTAATCACAAACAGTCAAGCTGTTTTACCTTTATGGTTAAGTACAAGTTTGCCACACCAATTCAGTCTTGATAAATAAACAGGTAATGACTTTAACTCAGGTCTGTGATGATGATCTTGTAATATTTTCACCAATACCTTTATCTTTCCACTTCTTCACATCAACAAGTTCAGCTACTTGTGGAGAATGTATAGAAATAGACACAATGTTTTCTACCAAAATGTAAAAAATTAAAAAAAATGTGCAAAACCCAGATTCTGAATCGTGAAACCAAAGATAAACCCTACACTATATTGCTTTTATAAGTTTACTAGATGTGTTTGTGAATTATTTTATTTTGCAATTATAAAATATCTACAAAATGTTTACATCATACATCAAGGCAAAACGTATCTGGTTGTATAAAAATAAAAACATTCATTCTTAAAAGAAATTATATTGAAAGATATTTCCTCACAATAAAATTAATCAAAATATAAAAATTCAATATTTTAAAACTGGCCAGATTTTTTTTTTTTATACATGATTGTACATTCAAATTTGACTATAAACCTACGTTTCTCTTGCTTCCCAACTACAACATGCATCTGACAAGAGTTTTTAAGATGTATAAATAAAAATAAATATTCACAACTGATGATGTACATCAGGGGCTTTCCATATTTGAAAGATTCTGGTGACAAACTTTACATGCTATGAGTAAATCAGATAAAAATTTATTATATTTTACAATATCCATATCTCTACTATGTTGCATGCAGTGCAAGTATCATTTGTGAACATTTTGACTTTTTTCGAGGGTTGACTGCAAAACGGCAGTAACTTTTATGAAATAAAGAAGGACTTACAACAGTTTTGCGATCAAGTTCATCAACCCTCATTGTGTAGATTTTAAGCGCCTTAATATGCTAGCTTAAATGAACTTGTTTTGTTCATTGGACAACATTATTACTACTAAATATTTTCAAAATTTTTATAAAAATTTAAAAAAAGATCTTGAGGTATGCTGCTTTAGAATTGGCATCTTTCCAAGTTCTTATATATTAAAGAAAGGCTCAATAAAGTCCAACCATGCATTATTATTAATACATTGTAGTCATTATTTCAAACAATACATGTCAAATGCTCACATATAATTGCATACAGCACTGGCTTCGCATGAATGATTTTTTCTCCCCTATTTTAGGCATCTCTTCATTTAAACGTATAAAAGTTCACCAACTCATGTGTGAAAAGTTCAATGTTGATTTAATACCTTAGAAGTGCTAGATTACAATCTTGCATTCAATCAAAATGTTAATACATTTGCCTTGTAAACTTTATGATTGGTTACAGATGAAATAATCAACAAATTTGTATCAAAAATTCCTTAACCTAATTCAACTTCAAAACAAGTTAAATATACACAACCTTTGTGTACATAAAGTATTGTATTTAAAAAGTGGCTAGCAAAATTTCTTGTATAATGTTAACAAAAGAAGTGACATAAAATGAATCTTTCACTAAATTTACCAAATACATGTATCACAAACATTTCAAAAACTGGTAAATATTGCATACTATAGTCATGTATTGACAAAAGAAAATTTCTCAAAAATCAATAACTATAAAACTTTGCTGTTTGATAATGCTGTACATGTATTAAAACTTTCGTCTGAACCATTATAATAAATTCTTAAATTCATGATATAGACGTTTTTCCTCTTAACATTAATTAACTTCAGTAAATGGTGTCATGCCCACAGTAAAAATGTGTGCTTTTTCATAATTTTGAATTGACAATTCCTAATTGGTAGCATTTTGAATTTTTCCTCCTAAAAAGCAACAAAAAACCCAACAACAAACGGAAAACAGATTTTCTAATGTTACAGTTTCTGTGCTCTAAAAAAATTTTTTTTATAGTGTATTCAAAAAATAAACTGTCATTTTCTTTTCTACTTTACATTACATAGCTTCTGTTATTCTCAAAATTCCCGAAATAGTTGATGTTTGGGGAAAAAAACATGTTAAATTCGAAGAATTCTAATTTTGTACAAACAAGAACAAAAAAAAAACTTTAAAGAGTATGCTTAAATCATATATACATTTACATCTACAATAATCTACATGTACGTTAAAAGTATATATTAAGATTTTATTACATTTTAAGATAACAGTCAAGGAGTGTGATTTAAATCAATCTGGTATCATAAGCTTAAAACAATTCTAAATTGCCATGCAATACTGTTATCATATGTACTCAAAGAACCATAAACTAAACCCCTTTGTTGTAGGTGGGTTGCTTTTTTTTAATCATAGACATGTCTCGATTTTTTTTTTAAAAAATCTATAAATAATGTATACTGTAGCTTTAAAATCATCATAACATTTTCTTCTACAAAACATTCAGCAGAATTCTACATAAACTATGGGCATTTTTAATTTCTAAGCACTGACTTTTACACCACTCAGGAGTATTTCTAATATGTGCTAAATTACACAAAGGCAATTCTATGTCATTATAATTATAATCCCATGCATTTAACCTATCCACCACTTTTCCGGGGAATCTCCGACACCAAATATACGGTAAATATATTAAAATGGCAACTGTTTAATCTCCAGTAACTGAGTAAAGCAAACAGTATTCATTTCCCAATCACATGCACACTATTGTCATGCCTTGAGAGATTCATAGAGTATTAAGTAAGTCATCCATTTAAGCAGATTTCTAGCATGTTTTATTAAAGCACTAACTGAGTAAACACACTTTTTTATTACTTTTTACTGATGATTGAAGTATTTTTCATTTTTTTACATCCTTTTTCCAAGAAATTTACATTGGATAAATGCAGCTGGTTATAGTTAGCTTCTTTCTTTAAGCACAATTATTTCAGCAGAATTGTGAATAAAAGCACATGACATATAAAGTCATATACTTATTTAACTTTTGTCAAGTCTATTTCCTGGATGAGCAAGCACTAGTGATATATCAGGCAAATGGAAAATGGCCTCAACAGGGCTTGGACCTACTATTCCTGGTTCAACAGGCACACAATGAATGCAACTTTGCCACTCATGTCGTTTTGAAGTTTCTTTTGTATATTATGACTATAACACAGAGTCGACCCATGAACCCCCTCCAGTATATTCCGATCTGTCATCGATAAAACCTGAACTTGTCAGATTGTCCCAATCTCCGTCAAACCTGTAGCGAGAACTTGCTGTTGTTGTTTCAACGTCATCCTCAAGGTCGTCTGGATCCTCGATGTTCAACTCTCCGCGACGTTTTGGATTACTGTCTTTATCACAGCTACTGTTACTTCCTGTACGTGTAAGTTCAATTTTATTTACTCCGTCTATCTCATCCTCTGTAATAAATTCTTCGACGTCTGTGAAAATCATGAGTTCTTGAGTCTCGAGAAATTGCGGTAGAGCCTCCATATGGACTTGAATATCACGTCCTGAAAAGTCAGATATTTTGTTTCCTTGACTACTGTATTTATTGCTGAGATATTTCTGACAGTCTATCATTGGAACGCGGTCACTTAGTCGCCACGGTAACGGTTCGCTGCTCCATCTTACCAGCTGTTTGAGTGACAGTCCTATACAAATGTCCTCTATAACAGATTCTGAATCAGCGTTGAGTACAATTTGATGTCCAGTGCTATTGAGTATAGCATAGCTTATGTCCACAAAATCTTTCGAGGACCATTTAATTCTCTGGCCAAACGTCTCCCCATTCTTGAACATGTGAATCTTGTAGTCAAATTTGTCTGAAAAAATGAAAACAACAATGATTAATGTTATTTTCAAAAAAAAAAGTTCTGGAAAGAAATTTTAAACATAAAGATATAAAACCAGCTTTCCCACCTGAATGTGTAAAAGAAGGCTACAAAGAAATCAAAATATTTGACGGTGAGTTTAATTGTGCAAGTCACATTCAGCGGGTGACACAAATTATCCCTGAAACCAAAATCTGGAGACCCTTGTAATGAAATGGCAATCTGAAAAGTGTGACATTTGTACCTCTTCAAATGATTTCCTCCATAATAAAAACTAAGGTTATATAAATGTACTGGTATCGAAGCAGTTTCCGATAAAAATATGAGGTTATTGAAAAATTTCTCAATAACAACGTCTCCAATTTAAATAAACTTTTGATATGACTAAATACAGGTCATGCATTGTTATTGTAAATAAAAACCGGATTCCTGAATAAGACATGCGCATCAAAAATGGGGCTCCAACGGGAGGTGCAAATTAGCCGTAATTGCCTCGCTACAGAAGCAGTTTCCGACACTTTTTTTTAATCATTGATTTTGCGGGTTTATAAATCGGTATCGGTGTTTTTATTATAATAAGACTTTTTGAAGGCCTCTTTAGACAAACAATATTGCTTTATTTAGGGTTTTAATCGTAATAATTCAGAAATCTTGGTAGACTTAATATGACATCTGCAGTGATTTTTACCGAGATTATTATCAGACCGGTTCCGGCGCACTGACCATTTCCGAACAATCAAGCGAGCTATTCACGTAACCGACAATAAATATAAAAAACATAGAAAATATTCACTGGTTTTGTAGTTTATTGACATTAACAAATAAATAATTAAATCATCATTCTATTTCGGCTTCTTATTTATAATTTTCGTCTGATTTAGGCAAAAATGCTAAATTTCATCTCGCCAATCTCATTGGTATTGGTATATCGGTACATATTTTATGTAAACTGAAAGAAAGGGACACAGTTTATATCTTGAAGGAAAAGTTGTTAGCTGCCTTACAACTTCATCCCAAAATATTTGCAAAAATATAACATAAAGATATTAATACCTGTTTAAACTAGGAGACCCTATTTAACTACATGTAGTTCCGAAGCATGTATTTTTAATGACAGGATTTCTGTCAATGAACACTTTTCCATGTGTTCTCATCAGAAATAAAATGTTATTTGATAATGTAATTTATGAAAGAGTGTGTAAAAAAAGTGTGCCAACAACTTTGTTGAGATAAACATATTTTGAAGTAAAAGCATTATCATTTATTTAAAAAGCGCTAACTCTTTAAAATAGTAGGATCGAGTCTTTAAAATACGCTATGCTCGTATTTATGGAAAGCACATCTACGTGTAGTGTAATTAATATATATACATTAAACCTCTGAAAACTAAATGATATCATAAGATAACATGCAGAAGAAAGAACAAATAAATATCGATTTCTATGTCAGTGTTCTAAAAATTGCTGTTAATATATCTGTTTTATGGATAAATTCTGGGACAGAAGATCGTTCTGTCCCAGATAAAATAAACAGTAAATAATAAGATTATCTATAGAAAGTATTTATCACTAATGGGACTGGAATGAATATTGTTCGAGCACAATCGCAAAACAAAACTTATTTTTTATCTTGACCATGTCACGATTTTGTGATACGTACGGCCAACTGGGCAGGTCCTAGGGCTTGAGGGGGGATACTCCGAAGAACAAATTTTCGTTCAGCGATGCTTCAAGAAGCGTTTTCCGGTGTATTTCGCACCGCTTAAAATCTGCAACTAGTGAATATTATTTTGGCATATGTCAATAAGTTTTTACAACGATCGTGCATCATAAACTTAATTAAGGGTAAAAGGTTGACTTTTAAAGGACAGTTGTCATATATAACGTGCAAGAACAGAAGTACGAAGATTGTGTTCACACGATGGTTAAAGTTAATCAATGGTCGATCATATGTGGTTCAAACAGTACATTATAAGTCAATCACTTTCGTTTAGCAATTGTTTGTATTTTGTTCAAACTAATTTATTTACAGCAATGTTCTTGTATTTTGTTCGCAAGAGTTTATCTTACACAGAGCAGAGTCTGCGTTTATGTTATTTTTTTTCAAAACACATCGCCGTCGTTTCTGAACTCCCCTCGGCCATAACTGAGCCACGTAAGTTTAGTAAAACTGCCGTGTATGATTTTATAAGATTGTTCAAAGGCAGGTCTGTACTTATTCTTGTACTCTTCGTAGGTAATATTACAAATGGTTTGTTGGTAATATTACAAATGGTTTGTTATACGCACCGGAACTGGTAAACCTCCGAAACTGGTGCAAACAATCAGATTAAATGAAGCCGTGTTCTTATTAGAAAAAAAGGTTTGAAGTGGAATCAAATATCTACTAGCAAGTACATTTGGTCTTGAAACAATTTGTTAATTTGTATGCAGACAGCGAAAGTTGAAAGTCTGTGTCGGAACCGGTCAAACAGCTGTACGTATTTTAATGTCTATTTGAATACTGACATTTTTGATGTGAACATTTGTACAAATAAATATAAAACAAAAGAAAAGAAAAAGAAGAAAAAAAGAAAACTTGTTAATCATTAAATTTTTTATCACGGTCATTGGTCAAAACCAGACTTTTTACATTTCACGGACATATCGTATGCTTGTACCACGAGTGTTATTGCATTCATGAATCCATAACACATTAATTTCAAGTACGAACATATATAAAAGAAATTCTATAAAATTATTCTAAACACCCCATGAGGTGCCCCATAATAAAAATAGCCTTCTATACGGGAAACAACCTACTGTTAGAATATAGACTATAATAAACAGTGTTGCCTCCCTTGGTTAGAAGAAAATTGCCGCGGGTTTCCCATTTCTGTCAATTTTGCTTTTATTTCAAGATTAAATTTTGTTGATTAAAAATGTCAACAACACATAGCTCTAGCTTATATTTATTGACTATTATGAAATTTGAATGATTATTAGCGACTTTGGAAATGTCGTCTGTATTCGCTGGCAAAGGGGGCAAACTTGTCTTAATTTGTGCCTAATGGAGTTATCCTTTGCGCATGCGCAACAGTAGCACGTGAAATCCCTCATGCGATAAATGTAAACACACCTGCTTGTAAAATATAAAGGTGAGAACGATATATTAAATGTTTAATTTAGATTGAAGAAATTCTGTCGAACGTTTTCCTTGAATGATATCGTTCTCAAAAAAACTCACCTTCAATTTTGAAGAGTTGCAGTAAACGAAAATAACCGTATTGTCGGATACTACTAGCCGACGGATACTGCTTCGATACCAGTAGTAAATAATAAGTCTAAGAAACTAAATGATTTCAAAATGAAATAGCTCTGCAAAGGATTTTGAATGGAAAGTGCATGCCTCTTTTAACTGTCTACTTAATTTTCTGCACTGATAAATTTGTCTAAATGGTAGTAACTGGATATTATTTATATATATTTTTTTGATGGGTTGGGGGGGGGGGGCGGCAATGGGGGAATGGGGGTCAAAATAAATTAAAATGAAAACAACCCAAAATGAGCCTGAAACTTCCAAAAACAACTTTGTTTCCAGACTTGTTTTCCTTTTATCTATACTTGTTGATAATAATGACTTAGCATATTTAATAACAAAATCCAACATGTAATGATCATGCATGTGTGACATGAATGTGGGAAGCTATTCACCAGAGTATCTCATTTTAAAAAAAAACAAACAATAAACAATTTACGCTTAAATAACCAAAAACCTGAAGTAGGTGTGTAATTTGAATATGTGTTATAATTTTTTTGTATGTATAAAGTCTGTAAACAAGCTACAATGTAGTACATTTGTACTCCCATAGTCTGCCTATCCTATCCTTTATTAATTCTATTAACTTTCCCAATGCTGAAATTGCCCTCTTTTACTAAAAATAACAAGAATTCAAGCATCACTATGCATAGAACATTTGTAAGTATCTGGGCATTAGGAATAGATGTACATCTAAGCAACCCAACTATTAGATAGCTACCTTGCATAGTGCCATACACATGTGTACCATCCTTGTTAACCACATTTTACTTTGATAATCATAGCAATGTATTAACATACTTAATTCTGAGACATGAAATGTCTGGGTTCTGCCAAAGAAGTAGGGCTTTGGTCCCAAGTTACTATGCTATTAGAGGGATGCAATTTCAAATACCTCAGTGATCATAATAATTAAGTACATGAGATATGACTCACTGTCCTTAAGACAGCAGGCATGACTTTCTTAGTTCTTGACAGTAAGAAAAAGGGGCATAACTCTGTAAAAAAGTTAACTCAGTCTTATGGAACCTGTGCCTATCATGTTAAATCACAGAAAATGAGCATGTTGAAGTTTTTCATTTTACCATTCCCTATTCCAGTAGTGTACCAACTTGCAAGCTGGAGTTACAGTCTAACCCCTCTGTATGAGGAACTGATGGGGATAGGTCCCTCCTGGCTAAAGATATTTCCAGGGGCTTTGGTGGTCCTAAAGTCAAATTTTTCGAATTTAAATTAAATATGACATTGATCTAAACATTAAAACTCAAAATGAATCTAGCAGTATTGATTTTTAAAAGGCTATTGGAGATTTTGTGATAGTCACTTGACCAGTTTAATGGTCGCCATTGGCTAAATGAAATGACATTTAATATTCTATCATATAAATGATTTATACGAAATGGTTACCTAGTTACCTACATGTATATACATGTTATTGTACAATAGCATGGGTTTGAAAGTTATACTCATATCAAATTTGTTTCTGTTTCCAAGTTATAGGTCGTTTTTCAATTAATAATGCCTCATATATTGATTTTCTGGCAAATGGAGGTTGATCAAAGTTCAGAAGTTCTGCTCAAATGTCTTAATATGCTTTTAAAGTGACATAGTCAGTATACTTAATTATCTTATCTGTCTGTTGTTTTTTCAGATAACGAGAACAAATTTGTTACTTAAATGTTAAGAAAACTGTAAAATTTATAGACTGCTACTTTTTCTGTAACATTTTTGTTTAGAAAAGTGTCAAATAAAGTGTGACAACATACTTCGACAACAAAATACAAAATCTGTGGGACGTTTACACTAAACTTTTCATGTTTCACTGCATGTAACAACCATGCCTAAAATCCGTAAACAAGAAAAAAAGTTGTTTACAATATAAAATAAAGAGCAGGCTCATTCAATCTTACGTCAGAATGATGTTAAACATTTTGTGATAATGATTCTGGTGTCAATGACACATTTTAATTTTAGTAAGACGCCATTCATTTCATCCAGAAGGTTTTCTTGTGACAGAAATAACAGATCCATTACACAAGCAAAGTCAAGTAATCTTGTGCACACCCTTGCAGTTTTACCTATGTACAATAATTCTTCATTACCCCTTTACCCACCAGAATCAAATGGGATAAACGGGAATTTAAATAGTCAATGCAGTTTTACCTAATATGTACAATAATTCTTCATTACCCCTTATGACATTGGAAGCGGAAATGTGATAAGCCAATGCAGCCATAGTAGATATATTATATATTATGGCGGGCCAGCTGCACAGGGTGTACAAGCGTTAGTACCTCTTCAAATGATTTGTTCCAAATTAAAAACTGGGGAAATGCATTATACAAATTCAGTAGGGTAAGGGTTAATTTGTCGGCTTAATTACAAAACTTTGATATTTAAATGTATTACATTATTATATCAACAATGGATAGATCCAATTCCAAGGTAGGATATGTCTAACAATCGAAACAAGGTAAAAGCCCATTTAGCCTTAAAAATGGTTTTATTTTTATTTATCATCATCATCAGTGTTTTACTGTTTGGTGTCCCGTTATAGATTCCAAAATGTTACTCACTGGCCATGTACCTGACAAACCTTGAGCCTATGCTGCTTTTTGGAACTTTAATACATGTATTAATGTTTATAGGGCTTTAGTAAGGTAACTTATTTGTATGGAAGTCAAAATATGACTTGGTTTACATTTTGCTACTTTTATAACAAATTATTTCAAATTCAGTGCTACTTTTTTATTCATACACTTTAATGACATGTTTCTTTCTAAAGGAGAAAAAATGTATTAATTCTTAAGGCTTAATGTGTCTTTAAAGATGGGCAAACTTTTTTTCAAGAGATAATGTATCGAAGTTTGAAATACAAATAAATGTATGTTTATTACAATGAAGAATGCATAGCAAATCATGGCCTATGATCAAAGGCACATGTCACATCATGTGACACAGTTTTACACAGCTATTTATATTACTAATAGTTAACCCAAGCATAAATTGTGGACATTGTGATCAAATTTACAACTCTGAATCAATACTAATGGTCAACAGTTAAACAGCACTTGACCAGCATATCAAATAGGTATACAAAGGAAAACATCTGGGCTTTGTTAAACCCACTTAAATAATAATAGGGTATCATGTTTGAAACATTATTCTGACCATGTCTGTCCAAAAGTTCAAGGTCACTACCCTTTCATTGAAACCTCACCTTTACATGAACCATTCTAACAGCTGTTACTGAAATAGTCTTATGTAAATTTTAATCCAACTTTGTCTCCTTTTTGTAACAGATATATTTTTACACACACAAATTAACTGATGATTAGGCAAATAAAATTACATAATTAATAAATGCGGGAAAAGATGCAACTTCAGCAAACTGAATCCTTCATACAGCATCTGTCAGGATCTGACCTGCTCTAAATCTCAGAAACTGTTCACTGCTTATTCAAGAATTTAATTTCTATGATGGTGTTGGTCAAAATGTACTCTGTACTGGTGTTGGTCAAAATGTACTATGTACTGGTGGTGGTCAAAATGTACTATGTACAGAAGGAGGTCAAGATTTGCAGTTTGGCCTGGTTCTGTACAGGTAGTCAAAATGTGCAGGCTGGCCTGGCTGTGTACTTGAGGTCAAGGTTTGTAATTATGAATGAGGGCATTCAAAAGTTCAAAATGTAAAAATAAGTTTGCAATAGATATGGTATAATATTTGGTACAATATATTTCACATGTGATTAATTGATGATAAAATTTACCATTTCATGTATGTCTAATCACAATAAAAGATCAATATTTATAACTTTGAACAGAGTAATCAAGCCTGGAGATAGCTTAATGCTATGCATTTTTCAAGCTTGATTACCCAGTAAAAATTTCCGGATTTGATATCACTGCATATGCCCTTATTAGAATAAAAATGCAATTAAGTATGATAATGACTTTGGTGGCTATGATCATCAATTTATCTCGCCTTTCATCAACAATTGTCTCAAATACTAGCAGCCTTGACCCCATATTTGACCTTTTAAGGTTCAATAAAACCATTAAAGTTCACGAACAAGGGAAATTATTTAAACCAAGGTGGTTTTTTTTTTTGCTGATTAATGAAATTCCAAAAATCTTTTTGTCCACGGTGAGATACAAACAATATCACTCATTATATATTCTTAACTGTGAACAAATAAACAAGAAGAAGCTGATATTACAGTTGTGTTAATGTTTTTCATAAATTATATCCAGAAAGTCATTGTTTCTATACATTAAATATAGTATATACTACATTTTTCATATGCTACTTCTCTAACCACATGGACATGAATGTGTCAGGTACTAGTATTTCCTTATAAGCTTAAAGAATAAAGACACTGTATCATGAAAAAAACAATTATGGTCATTTATAAAATCTAAATTACCAGATGGTGTAAACACACCAAACCTGCCACCAATCTGCATATGATTAACCTTCACCCCATGCTTTACCCTATTTATGTAATGAACCTGTCCTGCATTGAATATGGAATCTTCCATTGCTAGTTAAAAGGATATGGGAAATTATAATTGATAAATCAATATTGGACTGTGAATTATATGTAATGTTTCCAATATCATATTGATACTGGACTGTCCATTTGTGCACGTTTTCAATATAATATCTTTAGATAATGCTAGATATATATTGATTTTCTGGCAAATGGAAGTTTATCAAAGTTCAAAACTTAATGCTAAAACTTCACAATGAAAAGTATGTCTGGTCAGAAGGTATAGATTGAAATCTTAAAAATATATAGTAATATACTGGTGGTATTTAGGCCTGTTTGTTTAGTCGAAAATAAACATAGAGTTAAAATATGACAGGATGGACAAATGACATATATAAACCCATCAAAAAGGTGGTTCATTTAATCATATTCTATGTAAATATCTCAAGCACAAGGATATGCAAAAAACGTTTTCATTCATGGCATAAGATTCACTTGTCAACACATGTGATGTAAACACCTAAACACCTACGTAATCGCAGTATAACTATTAAATAAGACATACATGTATGTGTAACTTTAAAACTGTTAGAAGACTGAGGAGTGACGTCAATATCCAAATTATGCATATTCACAGTAATTGTGAATTTTCAGACTCCAATTTAGAAAAAAGCCGAGTTACTTTCTTCATTGAGAACAGGGCCATTTTACAGGCAGATCTTTAGGAAGAAACAGAAAACACTGTTGATCATGTAATTATATTTATATTGGGTTGGGTTTTACATTGCACCAACATAGAAGAGGTCATATGGTGACTTTCCAGTTTTACTGGAAGAGGAAGACCTCAGGTGTCTTTTTGTGCATAATTTCAGGCATAAACAGGCATGTCAGTAGAATCACTGATCTTCCCTAATCTAGCTAGATATCATAGCTTCCTCATATGAAAGAACCCAAAGTCTCTGTCAGGATCCAAACTTATGACAGTGAGAGGAAAGAGGTTTAAAGTTAAAAACCTTAACCACTCAGCCACAGATGCCCCTATCATGCAATATATATATATCATTATTATTTAGAAGGACTGGTGAAAGTGGTGTAAGGTTTGATACCTGAGGTTTTCCATTTGGCTGAGCAAAGACAATGTGGACCTTCTGCTGTGACAACTAGAATAGCCAGTCTGTATCTGTAACTCTGCAAATATACAACATTTATTTCCGGGTTAACCAATGAAATACTAGATTTTTTCAGAAAGATTTAATGCATAGAATTCAATGCACGCATTATTTAAGGCATATATCACTCATTATTCAATGCATAATATTATATCACTTATTATTTAATGTTTATATCACTTACTTATTATTCAATTTATATATCATTTATTATTCAATGCATATATCACTTATTATTCAATGCATATATTACTTATTATTCAATGCATATATTACTTATTATTCAATGTTTATATTACTTATTATTCAATGTATATATCACCCATTATTCTATCAATTTTACAGTCTTACATTGCTCAATTCATGTAAAGAACTATCTAACCATTTTTATTGTTCACTGACAGAATTTCAGTATATACTTAAAAGCAGTCATTAAGGAATAAATTCTTATATGAGACTGCGTTAAACAGATGGCATGGAAAGTCATTTCAGTTATTTGGTTACAGTGTAAAATAAACAAAGTATTGATAAAAGAGTTTGATTTACTATGAAGTAAAAATTTCACCAGTATCAATAAATATTCCCACAATAATGATTATTGCTCTATTTGGCAATTGGTACATGAAATTAAAATAATATTTTCTCATTAAATACCTGATTGTGGGTTTTATATAAATTATAATAAATAAGTCACACCAAAGTTGATTAAACATAAAATTATGTAACAAAGGACTTCTCAACTACTTTAATTAAAGAACAAACAAAGCCGTTCAGAAATACTAGGAGTTCAAGATAAGCACATTTTATCATGTTATACTAGACCTTTTAATTCCCTGTGTATTTTCATCATTTTAGGGGAGTCATTTATCTACATAGAGATCTCTCAATCAATCACTATTTATATCAAACAAACATTCTGTATTTACATCATAAAATCTTTATACAACAAGTTATTAAATTTATGGCATAAGCTTTATATATTTACACAGCCATAATAAATTTATTCTATAATCTTTACCAGACCACTTAATTATACAACTGTCCTAATAAGGACTAAATTTTGTTATGTATAACGGCTGATAAATTCTGACTATGACACCTTGTAAAGATTATGGTGCAGTGTTATAACACTTAGTCCTGCATTTACAACCCCTTTATCCCTACTTGATAGCCCCTTTATCTTATTACATAGCCCTTTTATCAGCAGCAGACAAAATGACAGCAGACTCTCTATAATATACCCTTAGAAATCAAAACAAATCAAATGATAAATCTGTCTAAGAAATCTGTCAATCATAATGTTATTAACTTATCTTTATTCTTGTGAATAAGTAATGACGGCTAAGTTTGGATAAGACAGTGGTCGTTCAGACAAAAACAAACAAAGTCTCCGACAGTCTTGCCTGTAACTTGTTTTAAACAAGAGAGCCATGTTGGCACTATGATCACCCACCTGAGATCCATCGCTAGAAAATCATGACTCTTCAAAGCAGAAGACTAATTAATTACATTCATGACTCACATGGGCCAATATTTACCATTAAAATAACTTCAATTGCAGTCCACTTAGGCAATGCTACAAGCCAAAAATCTCTTATTGGCCAACCGCAATAACTGATAAAATAATTGCAAAGTTTAATGTTCTTTGTCTGAATTCATAGTTTTGATCACCGCCTAAAACCTGGTGGGAGGACATTCTTTGGTGATAATTTAAATGACAAGGTAGGTGCGTTACAATCAGAAACTTAGTTACAAATGAAACTCCCACAGATATTCAACAAATCTTCATGCAATAGATAAAATATGACATATTGACATATAATTTTGAGGTTAAAAAGGGACAAGTAAACAGATAGGTGTATGCAGTCTATATACAGGCATTTCATTCAGAGTATCTTATCATCATATGTGAATACTTAACACTTATCGAACTGCTAAGGACATAACAACCTAATTGAAAGAATTTAATGTCATTATATGTGTTGTTTTTTTTTTAACCATAACCTCTACTGTCTACAGATTAATTAATAATCCAAGTCAACAAAAAAAACCCAACAAAATGCTTTTCAAAAGATTTGTTGAGAAAGAAATGATAGTAAATAACTATTCAAAGTCTGAGGTGAGAAACATTGATGGTTTTTGGATTGTTCTACCAACACTATAAATATTTCAAGACAAAATATCTAAACCAATAATTGTTTATGTGCAATGGGTTTCCATTTTGATGATAAATGATTTACAGTTTATAATCAAAGAACAACTTTGACAGTTTTTCATATAATTTGACTTTTTTGGCCACCATATGTCAGTATAGAGAGCTCATGTTAATATATTTGATCAATTTTCATGGTTGATCTTTTAATGAATGGCTGATTAGAGGAAGGATTGCATAACTTTTATGATAATCTAAATCCAGATTATTCACCTTGTTAATCAATCAGGTAGCGTCAGCAGCTAAGACCATTTGAGCCGCGTCACGACAAAACCAACATAATGTGTTTGCGACCAGCATGGATCCAGACCAGCTGCTCATCTGCACAGTCTGATTAGGATCCATGCTGTTCGCTGTCAGTTTCTCCACTTGTAATAGAGTTGGTAAGCGAACAGCATGGATCCTGATCAGACTGCGCGGATGTGCAGGCTGGTCTGCATCCATGCTGGTCGCAAACCCACTATGTTGGTTTTGTCGTGATGCGGCTCACTTTTACTTTTCCATTATGCCTTTAGTCTCTCTTTAGTCCCGAACCTTTGGTTTCTTAAAAGTCAATGAGTCAATAATCCTTTGTCTTTAAACACCATGGTATCAGTTTACCTTTAAGATATCAACTTACCTGTAATCAATGCTTGAGATAACTTTCTGTCTGATGTGGCTTTGTGTGTAAATAGGAAATACTGAGACCATCCAGACACTACAACTTTAATGTTCAAACAATACTGTGTTTACTTTATTAATATGGTATGTACAAAGAACATTTTCATATCCAAGTAACAAGCATTGGAATAGTTTATCAGTCAAACATGACCGATCCTTTAAACAAAGTTGAAACTCAGTTCTTCTGACCATTTGATGAAAATAATTTAGACCTAACCACCAGTATTATTAGATCCAGGTGTGCTGGAAATCTGCTCACAGTCTGGCTGAACTGCAAGAGTGTCCAGGCTGCCCTGGCTCTTAGTCAAAATATATTGACGTGCCAAAGCTTGATTCTGACATATTTTCGTGCTGGGTCAGAATCTTGCTTTTTTTGTAGAGGCAAGATATTGCCCAGACACGAAAATAGCACAATATCTCGTCTCGCAGTACGATTAGTCGAACTACCCTGGCTCTATACTAGTAGCAATTTAAAAGGCGTTTCATTTTGGTTCAAGCAACTCAACACTGGTTATGTTAAGGGGTAAAGTCCTTGAAAAGTACATGTATATTACAATATAAGGGCTCTCAATACATAAATTACAAAAAAAATTATTATTTTTACTTAATTTTTTTACAAAACATTCCCCTACAAAAAAAATTAAAGGATTTTTTTTTTTACATTCCTGTATCTGCCAGGAGTACATGACCTTGAACAGTAACATTTTAAAGTTTGATTTTTGCAGAATATATATTTAATTACCAAAAACACAAGTATTGTTACTATTGTATGTAACTATGTGTACAAGCGAAAACAACATGAAAATTCCGCTCCTTCTACTTGTAGACTTCCAGCAAAACGGAGATAATTAAAGCTTTGAATATTGACCGAAAAGGGCTTTTATTATCAGATCGAATCAATGTTTTCGCAGTAGATTTCTTAATTTAATCATGTTATATGAACAGTAAATTGATACATCAAAGTCAATTTATTTTATACATCAATAAATCACAAGGGAAGCTTTGTTATACCAAATTATGTAACAGATCAAACAAATATAAACAGACACTAATGTAGCATTGTTACAGAGTTGTATATGCAGAACATTTTCTGATAGTTACACGTTTGTTTATTGTGTATATCATGAAAACTAATTTGAATTATTTTAACTGTATAATATATCAAAGAATTAATAAAGAATATTCATTCTATATTTACAAAGCACTTAAAAATATGTGTGACAATTACCACATTGGGTTTTTATATTCACCAGTAACATGTACCCTTGAAATTGAGTAGAAGGCAGTTACTTCTTAGCATGACTTTGGTATTTAAGCAGGTCAAAAATTGTGATTGGCTGTCAATAAAAACTGAAGACATATATAGATGTGTCATTTATTTCCATTTAAATGCCCAAATATTCATAATCATAGCATAATTGATAACAAAAGCAAGCCACTATTTTCCAATCATGCCACAAATTAAGCCTATAAATTTCCAGCAGCAAATGGCTGCTTAATATAACTTTTGCAATGTTTATTTTGAAATACCTTAAAATTAAGTATTAACATTTTCTATTTATATCCCTAGCCCGGGTAGATATGTTATTATGCCCTCTTACTGACCTTGTCTTCGTTTTAAGACATTTTTTTAAATCGCAAACTATGTCATTCATCAATTGAATGACCCCCTGAAACTTTTTTTTAAAATGTCTGGTAATACGAGAAGGTATTAATTTATATACTGTGTCCCAAAATTGTGGTTATAAATTATACTGTCTATTGCTTCTTTTTATTAGCACTTGTGTTTTTTGTTGTCAAACAAACATGTAAGATTATGAGGGGAAAAAACATTGCTTTATTTCCAGTTTTCCAAAAATTATATGATAAATCACTGCATCAGGTTTTAGCTCCTGAATTGGTAATTTGGTATCAAGTTTAAGTAAAGTCTCTTTTCAAACTTATTTCAGGGATGAAATAGTATACATCTTCTGATAATAGAACATTAATTATAAGAGTCTTTTTTCCTTATTTACTTTTAAAATGAGGTAATGATGTTTTTACCAAATAAAATGCCCTGCCTTCTGTCTATCATCCAGTTTTCAATTATGAGAAAATATATCATGTATTTTTCAGTCATCCAAGATCAAGGCCATTGTCACAGATACATTGCCAAATAGTATTGGGGGCTGGTAGATGGGAAAGCCACATCCTCTTCTTCATTGTTATTTATACGTTTATTCTACTTTTTTGGTATTTTTATATCGCCTCCTTCATTCTTATTTTTATATCCCGTCCTTCATTCTTATTTATACTGTGAATTCTACTATTTTGATAATTTTACATCATTGTTATTTATATGGTAAATTCTACTGTTTGATATTTTTACATCATTGTTATTTATACAGTAAATTTTTCTATTTTGGTATTTTTTACATCCCCTCCTTTGTTATTTATATGGTAAAATCCTACTTTTTTTGGTATTTTTCAAGGTTACAGTCTAAATATGTAAATGGAACACCAAGCAACGTAAGGTAAGTAAGTAAAACACAATACACTATCCCTATTAAACATCAATGGTGTTGTAATGAAATCTGATCATATGTATATATGTATGGAATATGTTATAATGTACTTTGAATATATAAATGAGCCGCATCACAACAAAACCAACGTAATGGGTTTGCGACCAGCATGGATTCAGACCAGCCTGCGCATCTACGCAGTCTGATCAGGATCCATGCTGTTCGCTATCAGTTTCTCTACTTGTAATAGGGTTGGTAAGCAAACAGCATGGATCCTGATCAGACTGCATGGATGCGCAGACTGGTCTGGATCCATGCTGGTCGAAAACGCATTACATTGGTTTTGTCGTGACGCGGCTCAAATATTGCACTCATATTTCAGAATTTACCATTTTTTTGGATTGTTTTCAAGGACAATATTTATTTTCTTACATAATGCTATATCAGCTTACTTAAAACGGTAATATTAGCATTGATACAAAATATGCTAATGCCTTTTTTACTGAATACAAAATGTAATTGCATACTTAGCAGAATAAAAAAAGTGACTTGCCCATATCATTAGCAGATTTACATTGTAATGTTTTTTATTAGTTTGTTTTGCTAATGGATTTTGGGAACTAGGTACAAAATTTAGCCATTTTATGTTGCTTGATGTCCTCTTAAATTTGCCTCAGAACAACAGTTACTGTTATTATCCCTCCTTTGCATCTAAAATTTCCATTACCAAAGGAAAGGGTTTTTTTATACGAGGCTCTTTTAGGTCTTGGTAGGGCAAAATTTCTAACATTCAGAGAATTAAAGCTAGAATAATGAACTAGAAATGTGTCCATAGGACACGGGTGCCCCCACCGCGCCACTGTTCTGTCAATCTTTTTACTAAGTCAAGGGAAATAAGTCTACAAATACTGGATAAATCCACAAGCGAAACCCCAGGTGCAAATCTAAAATATGCTGAGCAACCTGCCCATAAGGTTTAATGACTATGTCAAATCCTTTTTGAGAAACTTGCGACTTAAGTTGAAAATTGCAAAAAATTTCTAAGTGAAGGGCAATAACTCTAAAAATTCTAAATAAATTCAGACAAAAATACCTGGTACACAACTGCACATGCTGATCAATATTCCTGTAAAGTAACATGACTCTAGGTCTAATACTTTTGAGTTACGTGCGACACATGTTGAAAATTGCCAAATTTTACTAACTCAAGGGCATTAACTCTGAAAATACTAATAATATCCAGACGAAAATACCCAGGTGGACAACTACACATGCTGATCAACATTCCTGTAAAGTTTCATGACTCTAGGTCAAATACTTTTTGAGTTACATGCGACACAAGTTGAAAATTGCAAAATTTTACTAAGTCAAGGGCAATAACTCTGAAAATACTAAAAATATCCAGACGAAAATACCCAGGTGCACAACTACACATGCTGATGAACATTCCTGTAAAGTTTCATGACTCTAGGTCAAATACTTTTTGAGTTACGTGCGACACAAGTTGAAAATTGCAAAATTTTACTAACTCAAGGGCAATAACTCTGAAAATACTAAAAATATCCAGACGAAAATACCCAGGTGCACAACTAAACATGCTGATCAACACGCCTGTAAAGTTTCATGACTCTAGGTCAAGTACTTTTTAAGTTACGTGCGACACAAGTTGAAAATTGCAAAATTTTACTAACTCAAGGGCAATAACTCTGAAAATACTAAAAATATCCAGACGAAAATACCCAGGTGCACAACTACACATGCTGATGAACATTCCTGTAAAGTTTCATGACTCTAGGTCAAATACTTTTTGAGTTACGTGCGACACAAAAGTGAACGGACGGACGGAAGGACCGACAAGGGTAAATCTAAATGCCCGCCACTAACGTGGGGGCACAAAAATTAAAGAGAGACGATTTTACCTCTCTATCAACTGTTTTCACAACTGGGACTAAATAAGCTAAGAGTTGCCCGCTGTTGACTTGGCGCAACTCGATGCCAGTGGGAATTTCTGTTTCACTGCTCGCTGGACGTACTGACCGACATTCCAACACAGGGGATCGCTGGTAATTCACTAATCTGAAAATAAAAAGCATTAAAGATAAGAAATTAATATAAAGATTCTTATCATTCATAGAGAAATATCATTTATCAATTTTGTTGCATTTTAAGTCAAATCAATTCATTACATAAGACATTATCACCTTTTATGTAGACAAATCAATTTATAACATGTACATTTTAAGACAAATCAATTCATTACATGTAGCATTTTAAGACAAAAGTGATTTTTTCTGTTGTATCAAGACATTTTTGTTTAAGGCAATAGAACCAGAGGACCCTCTCCTGACAACCTCCCTCAGAACCTTATATCAGGCACAGGCAGGAGCTTGAATAGAACCACCATTTTTCCAAATTTAGCTCTATAACAATAGACCATACCTTTATCATTTGCTTTAAAAAAAAAACAACACCTAAAAATGTATAAAAATAATACACGAAATTTTGTTGAATACAGCAAATTATGTTGGTATAAGATTATGTCATAATATTATGTGGTGATGCAAATTAACTATTAATTAAGACAGGATGTTGTTTTTGAAATATGGCTGCCCCTGTCAGTGTACATAATATGTGTTTACTGTAGATACACTGTCTTCTAGAATGCATCATTCTCCATTTCCGTGTTCACAACATGCCATAGGAATGAGCCATAAAACTTTTTCCCTTGGTAAGCATAATACAAAAATAGTAACAAGTTTGATTAGCGCTTGACACTTTCGTTAAGCGATAATTACGTCTCCACCATTAATTAGCGTGTTTCCTGTCCAAACACTACTTAAATGTAAATATATAGCTAATTATTCACTATTTATAGCTACCTGACTGGTGAATGCACTAACTGTATCAATTTTTCCTGTCTAATTTCATCTCACACTCTGGTAAAATGTTATCAATCATTATGTGACAATATTAACTGGATTTTTCAACATTTTTACATTTACACTCGAGTCCACTAACATGAAAATTTCTCTCAACAGTTCCATTCCTATGTCACTCATATTTTAATTATTATAAGTTACAATATTGTAGCAATAGCCTTACAAAAATTGAAATTCTAACAAAGAACAAGACTTATTTTAATAAGCAAGCTATACATATGTATATGTACAAGTATGTGAAAGGCCATATTTTATTCATTCTAACCTCAGGTGCCCTTTTGTGCATTATATTTTAGGCAAGGTGCCTTAGTTGAACCATTGATGTTCGGTAACCTGGCTTGATAATTTCTTTACTATTTGAAAGAATTCCTGGTCCCTAGCAGGGATGCCCCATTGAACCTACAGCTGTGAGGGTGAAAGTGCTTTGTAGTTTACAACATAAGCCACTGACGCCCAATACGCCTTAAGGAGTACTTAATAATGTTGATAATTTAAAAATTGATTTAACATGGAGGAGATAACATATTTTATGTACAAACTTTTGTACATATATGTACCAACACCTTCACAATATGCTCTTGCTCCCAGTATTGTTCTAAATGACTTCAGTTTTAAGGCTGAGAATTGTTATCCATACTACTAAACAAAGAAAATATTTAACTAAATACATAAAAACAAATATATGTCAGAAATTTTACACTGGCATGTCATTGTATATAACTTAAAATTATCTTCTTTTTCAAGTTAACAAATTCCTGAACAAGAAATTAATTATCTTTTGCTTAATTACTGATGTAAGTTTCCTTGTAAATTGTCAAAAGATTTCAGGCAAACCTAGGTTAATTCAAAACTGCTGCATTTTGTCATATAAATATTGTCTTTACGGTAAATATTAATGTCAAGAAAATGCACCTATTATAATGCATGTTGACATTTTAAAGTTACATTAAAGATTTTCTCTTCCATTTTTTTTTCCATTTTCAGAGGCATAAAGCTTAATTACACATTTCTTCATTGCAGACAACTTGTTTTTCCTATAAAAAAATAATGTTAATATGCTTATAACTCAATAAATATGTATTTAAAAACATTTACCATAACTAGACTAAATTTGTGGAACAGACTTAAAAACTTTGTTTGAAAATGGAACTATCAATAGTTAAAGTGGTTTCAATATCAACAAAAAATGTGTCCATCTGACATTGCCAGCAAATCACATACCACTGTTTCAAACAGTGTACGGACGGACGGACAGTGTGACAGCAGACAGCAAGACAACATGACCAGGGCAGATCTATATGCCCTACCCACTTTTTTTTTCTTCTTCAGAGTTTTGAATACTCTCATGTTGTACAGTTTTACGCAGTTGTTGAAATTGTTCTTGAATCATTTTTCCAAATTAAAATATTACGTGAATGAATTAGCAAGAAATGCAAAGACAAAGCAATTTAGTCTAAGAAATTAATTTGTTTACAACTTATACCAGTAGACTTTTTATACTCTTTATAAACATAATGTTTGTATAGTTTGTTTAAATAAATCAAAACTAAATCAGGTACAAAGATGCAACAAATATGTGGAATTCCATGGAAAGAGTTTTTCTAAGTTTACTTTAAATGTTACTTTATTTGAATCATTTTAATGATATTTATAATTATGATGTCATTTATTAAAGAAAAAGACTTTCTTTTATGAACGCTACTTTTAGCGCATTATTACCAGTAGAAAATTGGTTTCGGCACATTTTTCAGCATATTGTACACTTTGTGATACTTGATCAAGTTAATGCCTTCTAACAAATGGCAAATATCTTCATTTTTTATTTATAATGTAAGAATTGTTATCAAACTTGACCGAAACTTTTTTTTTTAATTTAACTAGAAAAAACCTAAAATTAATATTATAAGATGAAATGCAGTGAGAAATATAATCAAAAGTTGTGGGCGGAAACACATACTTGCGGTTCAAGTGAGATCTTTAAATCTACACCCTTTCCGAAGGTTTTATGCATAACTGCCGCAAGTTGATATAATGAAAATAAGAAAATTTGTCAATGTTGCAATAAACTCCTGGATTTTAATACTTCAGATATTCAAATTTTACCTTGTCTGCATTTTCTATAAAAGGAAATTAATAAAAATCTTAACAGGAAAGAATAACCTGTCAAATTAAACATAATGATGTAAAAGTTCGCCTCACTGTGCTATACAACGGCTGTTAAACAATAGCAGGGCCACTGGGTCGAATGAGAGACTGTCGTAACTTAATTCATAAGAAGATCTATTGTGCAATTTTACCTGTCAAAAGTCATCATCATGTAAAAGGAAACATGTTTTAAGCCAAAAACGAACACACCATTAAATGTCTTGGTCTTTAATCATTGAATATGTGTACATTAAATATGTGTAATACCGTATATCTAATATTATATGTCTGTGACTTTTCTACTTACATAACAAGACTCTGATAAAAGGCATCTTCCCAATTGAAATTTTCTTTAAAATCATGCAGTTTTCCCAAAAATCTGAACTTTAACCTGCTTTTTTACTTCCCAGATTAGCAAATTTAGTGATAATTTTTTCCCAAAATCAAGAGGCTAAGGCCTCTTCCCAATTAAGTTGAGAAAAATCATTGTATGTTAATTCCTAATAAACTTTTGTATATTACTCTTAACAAAGCTATTAACAATTTTTTTCTATAAATTCACAAGCCTATTATTTTCATAATCCCAAATCATCTTACCCAAACCCCTCCCCCCTCCTCCCATGAAAAAGAAGATAAAAATATAAAGCCTTACCCCATGCAATCCCTCTCCCCCATCCCACAAAAAAAAATCTAAAAAAATAAAGAAACAAAATGGGTATAAATCATTACAACTTGTAGCCTGACCTGTGTTTAACACTTGATGTATGTTGTCATATTTAACCCGGAGTTTAATGGTGTTGGCTACAAAAGCTCTAAACTTGAAAAGGAAGTCATTTTATGACTTACGTCCATCATATATGATAAATATGATACTTTAAAGTATATCAATAGAAACAAGAGCTGTCGGTAGGACAGCAACGCTCGACTATTCTTAGTGCTTGATAGTAAAAAAAAATGCTTGATACAGTTACCTCCTCCTGTTTACAGGTTGGGGTCATGATGGTGAACAAGTGTGCAAAGTTTCAAAGCCATATGTCAATGGACTTTGAAAATATTTGAACTATTACAAAAACTTTAACGTAAATTCCAAGTCGAAAAAGGGGCATAATTCTGTCAAAATGCTTGATAGAGTTACCTCCTCCTGTCTACAGGTTGGGGTCATGATGGTGAACAAGTGTGCAAAGTTTCAAAGCCATATGTCAATGGACTTTGAAAATATTTGAACTATTACAAAAACTTTAACATAAATTCTAAGTCGAAAAAGGGGCATAATTCTGTCAAAATGCTTGATACAGTTACCTCCTCCTGTCTACAGGTTGGGGTCATGATGGTGAACAAGTGTGCAAAGTTTCAAAGCCATATGTCAATGGACTTTGAAAATATTTGAACTATTACAAAAACTTTAACATAAATTCTAAGTTGAAAAAGGGGCATAATTCTGTCAAAATGCTTGATAGAGTTACCTCCTCCTGTCTACAGGTTGGGGTCATGATGGTGAACAAGTGTGCAAAGTTTCAAAGCCATATGTCAATGGACTTTGAAAATATTTGAACTATTACAAAAACTTTAACATAAATTCTAAGTTGAAAAAGGGGCATAATTCTGTCAAAATGCTTGATAGAGTTACCTCCTCCTGTCTACAGGTTGGGGTCATGTTGGTGAACAAGTGTGCAAAGTTTCAAAGCCATATGTCAATGGACTTTGAAAATATTTAAACTATTACAAAAACTTTAACATAAGTGGTTACGCCGACGCCGGCCGACGCTCGGGTGACTACAATAGCTCTACTTATTCTTATCGAATAGTCGAGCTAAAAATGTATTTCAATAATATTTTCCTTTGATAATCATTTATTATTCTAAGAAGTTGCTAAATGAGTTTTCAAAAATTTTAAAGAACATTTAATTTGAGATATAAATGTTTTGTCCAAGTCACTGGACAAACCCTACCTGTAGATTCTAAAATTGCACCCAACATGTTTGACAAAACTTAATAAAATTTTCTCCTAAAAAATTCAATTTTTATGATTCAGAAAAAAAATAGCAAAACGGCAAACACATAGTTGAGTCTGATCCATTTTATTGGATCTATATGTACGAAATTACTGTCAATTGATGTGCTAAAAATTTCAAGTCTTTGAGTCTTGCTGGTACAAGTAATAATGAAAAAACAACTTTCAAGTGAAAATTTCTGAAATACATGCATTCCCATCTTCCTTGAGAAGTAACAAGCAATTTTATGCATTAAAGGCAATCAAGTGACCCTCAATTCTTCCAAGTGTCCCTCAAAATTTCATTCAGTGGGCCATTAATGTGTCCACCCCACCCCCTCATTACATGTACATATAAGTATTCCTAGGCATACACCATTTTAGTGGGTGGAATCATTCCATGAAACTAGCCAGAAAGAGGTAAGTCTGTGTCACTCGACCAAGATACCCCTATATAGTTAACTAAAATTACTAAATAGTAAATTAAATATCAGTTAATCAGAAACGGAAATGACACTGCCACATGTAGTTAACAGACCAATCTTGTCTCTTCAAATTACATCATCAACAGTTCAATTCACATCCCTTTAAGGCTTTAATGATTGAAATTACAATATTACAAGTACTTTATAATCTCAATTTCCATCTTCCCTAAAATGACGGTTTCTTTTGTCAGGTTTGACAATACAGTGTCTATATATTCATTGCCTGACTTAACAAAGGTGACCAAAAATTCGGATTTCCTAATCAATGAGAAGTCCTGTATCAGTGGTTTTATATGAAATACCTGCGGGATGAATCAGTAAAATAGGTGTCAGTACAGATCAAAATTAAACTAACCTCAGGTGCAAATGTTATTGTATACAATTGACAAACAAGAGGGCCATGATGGCCCAAAGTCGCTCACCTGTATATAGGCCCCTGGAGTGGGGCCAGTTTAAACCCCAGGGCTTTTATTTGAACAAACTTGGTTGTATATGTATGCATGTATATATATATATATATATGTATATATATGTATATATATATATATATATATATATATATATATATATATATATATATATATATATATATATACATAATATACATATTGTGTATATATATATATATATATATATATATATATATATATGTATATGTATATATATATATATATATATATATATATATATACACATTTATATATATATATATTTATTTATATATATATATATATATATATATATATATATATATATATATAAATATTAAATATATATAAATTTTGGCCCTAGGGCTTTTATTTGAACAAACTTTGTAGACACTCATTAGAACATGTTTCATGCTAAATATCTTAGCTCTAGCTCTTTGGGTTCTTTAAAAGAAGATTTTTTAAGTTTTAACTATATGTATATAGGGAAAATCAAAGACATCCTGGGGCGGGGCCAATTTTGACCCTGGGGCTTTTATTTGAACAAACTTGGTAGACGCTCACTAGAAGATGTTTCATGCTTTATATCTAAACACTAGCTATCTGGGTTTTTTCAAAGAAGATTTTTAAGTTTTTGCTATACACAGTCATATAAGGAAAAATCAATGACCCCGGGGCGGGGCCAATTTTGACCCTAGGGCTTTGATTTGAAACAAACTTTGTAGACACTCACTAGAAGATGTTTCATGCTTAATAGCTAAACTCCAGCTATTTGGGTTTTTTTAAAGAAGATTTTTTAAGTTTTTGCTATACACATATAAGGAAAATCAATGACCCCGGGGCGGAGCCAATTTTGACCCCAGGGCTTTTATTTGAACAAACTTGGTAGACACCCATGAGAACATGTTTCATGCTAAATATCTTAGCTCTAGCTCTTTGAGTTCTTTAAAAGAAGATTTTTAAGTTTTTACTATATGCATATAGGGAAAATCAATGACCCCCTGGGGCGGGGCCAATTTTGACCCTAGGGTTTTGATTTGAACAAACTTGGTAGGCACTCATTAGAAGATGTTTCATGCCAAATATCTAAGCTCTAGCTCTTACGGTTTTTTAGAAGAAGATTTTTTAAGTTTTTCTTATTGGTTGCCATGGCAACCAGAGTTTTTAATGGAATTTAAATTTTTGAACAACTTTGAAAGGGGTCCACCTAAGGATCATTTCTGTAAAGTTTGGTTGCAATTGGCCATGTAGTTTAGGAGGAGATGTTGTTTGAAAAGTTTGACGCCATTTTTTGAAGGACGCACGACGCACGACGCACGACGCACGACGCACGACGGACGCAGAGTGATGACAAAAGCTCACCTTTGAGCACTTCGTGCTCAGGTGAGCTAAAAATGGAGAAAGTTACACATTCAATCAACCACAAACTTGGAATACATATTTTCCCATGTTTACAAACTAAATATACTGTGAGAATCACGTTCAAGGTCATAAAAAAGCAAGGTCATAAAAAAGTGATGTAATTCTTGATAAACCCCAATTAAAACCTAAATCCAAAGGATAGGGCAGTACCTAGGATTAACCCTGAAAACATAATTTATGGGAAAAGTTTAATAAAAACCCTTTTAATCAAGTGTTTTCCCCCAAGTTTCCCTGTAAAAATTTAAAAACTTTTTGTGAAAAAAAAAAAATTTTTGTAGGGAAAAATTTTTAACTAAAAAACAAAGGTTTGATAAAAATTCATAAAATCCCCTAAACCACAGGGCGCAAACTTTCAAAATAAAACAAACTGTCATAGATAATGTGTCAAACTGCTTTTTCACTAGATATCTGTACAACCATTGTTTATATGAAATGAAACTCCTACAAGATCAGCATATTAACCAGTAGCTTAACTGTGATAATAATTTACAATAACTTAAATAATTTGAGCAGAAATAGTTTACAAGAGCTAGCTAGTCAAATTATATTGACATGCCAAAGCTAGATTCTGAGATATGTTTGTCCTGGGTCAGAATCTCGCTTCTAGAGGGGAGATATTGCTCATACACAAAAAAGCACAATATCTCATCACGTAGTACAATTAGTTGTACTAAAGAGCTAGCTGGCACAAATGGTCCAGTGGATCAAGACTGTCTGACTATAAATCCTGAGGCTGCAAGGTTGAAACCTCACTTCCTCCAACTAATAGTACTAGTAAAACTGCATAGAGGAGACTTTACAGGTTTTTTTTTGCCCATCTGTATGACCGATACTGCAGTCATCGAATTTAGCACTGGCCCAGTGGCTCATTGCCAGTGAAAATTAGTTCGGGCCAGTGTAAATTTTAAGAAAATTTAATTAAATATATAGAAGAATAAATTCAAAACTGGAATTTGGGCCAGTAAATTCAAAATCTTCAATTCAATGACTGATACTGGGTCATGTACTCCCCCCCACCCCCACACCTCCCAATTTCAAGGAAAAAATTCCCAATCTGAGGGTGGATCATATTCCCAAAATGATGAGAAACCCCTGCTTTATATGAAAGTACTGGGTATTGTGTGCCTAACAATCCTATCTACAACATAGAATCATATTTTATTCTTTTGCACAATCTTCCAAACCAAAAATAGAATGATTAGAACTATTCAGTTTTTTGCATTAAATGTTTTCCCCCCCTAATTGTTAAATATGAGTTAATATTATACAAGGACAAAAAAAGACCTACTTTATTATCCCTTGAAAAAATGTAAACACTACAAAATTTGACAGTATAATACATTAGAAATACAATGCTATCCAATTTCCTGTCTGTTTGAAAAAGACCAGGATTTGGACTACAATATGATAATGTAATTCAATTTATAACAATTATAGGGAAGTGGGTATTGAGTTTCTTGTACTTATTTATATGCTTCTTTTTTGGACTTCACATTTATGAACATGTGACTATTTGGCTGGGTCACATCTGTTTTTAATTATCGTATACCTTTTCTTTATAATTATGCAGAGCTGTATACAGTGAATTATAAATCATAAATGTCAAAAGTCCGATAACATAAAAAACTGGATTAGCTTAAAAGTGGTCCAAACAATCTGTTGCAATAGATTGCTTTGACCTGAATGCATCTATAATTAATTACTTAACTAGACTTATAAAGAACGATTAATTATCATAAATTTGAAACAATTTATCACAGGAAACTGTTCCATTAAAATGCAAATAATAGCAGTTGATAGGCTCTTGTATTTTCTACCATAATAATGACATGTATTTAATCATGCTTTCGTTTCAAATACAACTAAATGAAAGAATTCAGACCAAATGAAACTAAATTGGTTTGTTAAGGACAGGCATATGATTAAACCATGAAGTTCATATTAAGTTTTAAATGAAACCAAGTGTGTGAAGTTTCAACCCATTCCCCCAGTAGATTTAGAGACACACAAACTTGCATAAAAGTGTGACGGAAATGCTGCAGCCAGGTGGAGTACAGTAAAACACCTAGAAAAGCCAAGCTAAAAGCAAAATCACATGATAGATGCCATGTATGGATAAAATAACTTAATCGAATGGTATCTTATACATATTTACAAGTCACATTAAAAAGACTGCTGAAATACCTTTGGTTATTATAAACAAACATCTTCACTCTACCGTCCTCGTCTTTGTCTTTCGGAGGTAATTCTAGAAGGAGATCAAATGCAGACTTGAGGCTTCGGAAACGTTTATTTGAAGACTTGGGTCGTAACCACATCATTGGCGTTCCTTTGGATTCCTTTTTTAAGTCTAGTTTTAGTTTCATTGTCAATTTATGTCCCCTACCATTTATATCAAAGTTTAACTTGATATTTTGCGTAATTGGGACTCCGAGTTGGAGACCCAGCCCAACTCCATTGTCTCTCGCAAGCACAATACAATCTGCAGCCGTACCTGCTTGAGTGGTTATTGTGTCTTTACCAAATATTCCATGTTTCTTTGTTTTGTGAATAAATATACCTACATTAAGATTGACACGGTCTCCGGGTAGGTACGGGAAAGACACGACAGTTTTACTGCCGTCCACATTAACCCAAGTCCATTTGTTCCCATGCCGAACCAGCTGCTTTTCTAATCTCACAGTATGAGTTTGGAAATCTTCTTGGTGCGAAAATGATAGTTTTACGTCCAACATTTTCACTTTTTTGGTCAAGTCATTTCTGTATATTTCAAGCGATGACATATCGACCACGATGGCCTTTGACGCGGCTTGCCGAAAGACATCGTTGGAGACAGCTTCTGAGAATTCCTTAACTGATGGCGACTTTGGTATCGTGACTCGATCCTTAATTGGTTTATATCGCACAGATTGACGAACAGCCGCTGGCTTCAACTTGGCTGGTTTATACTCCTCCATTAGCTCAACAATTTTCGAATATTCATATAATTCTCGCATCTGAAATGAAATAAGCAGATAAATATAGAGAAAACTGACAGCAGATACAATCGTGAAAATGACAATGTAAAATAACAACTCTAGAACATCAAATAACAATGACATTGTGTACTTAAATAATGTTACACTCCCTTCATCACAAGCCCTCAACTAACTTCTGTAACATCTTCAAAATACTTCAATTTTAAATATTATCTTATAACATCCTTATGGACCCCAATATAAAACATATGATGGCCTTGAAATGAAATGTTTCTTGTACTATAATGAACCATTAACCTAAATGTTGTTTTAAATTATATAATAAATAATCATAAATTAAACATATAATTATATAATGTACCTTAAGACAGTCAAATCATTTTGAAACTATATCTATGTCATTATAAATATTATCTTTAAATACACTTATGGGTTTTTTTTCAACTTATATTTCTATTACCTAAACAATTTAGACAAACTTTTTTGATAAATGATCTCTCTTTAAAACAACAACAAAAACACTGCAGTTAAAAATAGTTTATAAGCATGACAATAAAAATACAAAAGTAAATTTAAACAAACTTAACAGGCAGGTATAGATATCTTTAACTAAAATATTAAAACACCTACAGGAAAATTTTGTCCCTCTTTCCTATCATAATCAATCCATTTCACCATGTTAAACTTTAATATGAAGACATTTTAAAACTGCGCTATCTATTTGCGTTTCCCATCATTAAACTACCCGTAATAACATACGTAAACATTATATTTAAATGGACGGAAATTTCGAAACTGATTTATTTAGAATTATCGACAGGTATACCGTTTATGTTTCCACATATAAAACTGACGTCATACTATATATCTATCAATAAACACTGACATATACATTGTTGTATCAAATTTCAAAATACAATTTTTTTTCTTTTCAAACGGAAAGACATCTAAAGTTTTTAAGCTTTACAGGTCGGTGAATGGTTCTAGAATACTAAATTATTGAATCAAATCTATGGCAAAATGAATAAATATGCAATCTTTATAACTTATATTATTTTCTTTAAAATATGCAATTTTATAACTATTATTTTTTAGATAAATTTTTGTCTGCTGACAGCAATTAAAAGTATTCTATGTGATCAGTGCAAACCAAGATCAGTGGAAGTTTGCTTCAAATGCTTTATCAGTACTGGTATGAATCATTTATTTATATATCAATATATAAATGCTTCTTATTTTTAACCACTTATCAAATAATTATGCTAATATATTATCTAAAAAATTCACCCAATGTGATCTTAAGCAACAAGACAATAGGTTTTAATTAATAAAATTATATAAAAAATTGTTTAATATATTGCATGATAATTAATTTCATTAACATTATATTGTACAGCATGTGCATTACCTATATTAAAAAATTTACCATTTAAATACCTTGATAAATTTGCCCTTTTTCATAAAATTTGGAGCAGTGAGTCATATATTAAGTCCAATGTTCCAAATTTCAGTTGCTGAAAATACCTAATGTCAAGCTGTATATGGATGTCCAAGAGCACTACCCAGAAATAAGTAAGAATGAAGTATACAAAGTTTAAAAAATCAAAATACTTTGAGAAAAAAAATCAAAAACCTCCCTACCTTTGTCATATACAGTGCAATTACTCCAAATGAAAATTTTCTTCCACAGAATACAAATCAATCTCCTAATTAGAATTCTCCTAATGCAATATTACACTTCAAGCACTGATTTTATGAAATGCAACTAAAATACTTTTTTCCATTTCCTCTTTGCAAAAAAGTATTTAGTTATTTTCATCACAAAATGTTACAATTTATAATCAGCATCATTAAGCTTTTCTTTAAATAAATCAATGTCCAATTTTTAATTTTCCTTAATGTTTAAAATTAATGAAGTTTCAAACAGTCGCACAATCCCTTGTACAATGCTCAACAATAAATTTCTTTAAAAATTAATAATAATTTGTCCAATCTACTCATGGCCGATCAACAACTCTCTTCACACTGGTACTGCACATACATGGTAAAATCCATCTGATCATGTGACCAGAATTCTACCGTCCAGTGCAGCGCGTTAAACTTAACCACTATCACCTGTAACAGAGATTATCTTGCTAACTTTAAGTATGTATAAAATTGTCACGCATCACCAGGTGCACTGACAGACAGCTTAAGTTACTGTCTTAACTGCCTTTAGTGGCTCTTTTCTTCAAAATTGATATTTAATCACAATATGTCTGTATGCTATCAGCTGTAACCATATATAAAGTTTCCGAAGATTGGAACAACATATGAAGCTAAGTCTTTGACTTAATGGGCAGTCTTACTCTAATAACCTTAACATTTAGTTGTTTACTTAACTCCACAGACAAATTGATCTCTAATGAATATATATTGATTAATCCTCCTGTCTAAACAAAGCTGTCCATCAAATATTATATATTATATAACTTATATAATGGTAACAACCATAAACTTCTACCAAATTGTACAGAAATAATCCATTCAACTTATTTCATTGTACATTGTAAACTGATTAATAAATGTTATAACACATGAATCTCCTATGACTAACTAAGTGGTCAGCTGTATGAATAAGTGGTCATCTACATGAATAAATGGCCAGCAGTGGTCATCTGAAACGAGATTTTATTGGACATGGTCAGACTTCAGTGGTTGTGTATTTAACGCTATATACCTATTAAAATTAAGACCAGCTTAAATTACAGTTATGACCTTTTCACCTATGGCCATAGGCTTAAATTACATCACAGAAGATCAATAGAGGAAAAGATCACCTGGTCTGTATTTTGGACACCTGTAATATTAAAAAAAAAAGAAAAAAAAGATAAAGATCTCGCAAAAAAAAATAGTGAAAACATAATATGATTTTGATTAATTTCTGAATAATAATCTATTATCATTGTTCATAATGTCTGTATTATAAAGGAAGTTTTCATTTCTATTTTTTTTGTTTATTTTTTTTCCTTTTTCTCCTGTATTTTATATAATTGAGCTTCTTTACTGCTACTTTATTTATCACTTATTGTCTTAAAAAATCTTCTTTTTGTCCTAGCTATAATCCTTAACTGTTTGTTTTCATAGAAAAGTCTTATTTACAAATGTATAATTCTGTTTAATATCTATTATCTACATAATTGCTCTAGTTCTTATGTTACTATGTATCTTTTTCTTGGAAATTATTTTAGTAAAGAGACTTCAACAAGGTTCCAAATAAGAAAAAAGTTATATTTTCACATCATCATTCATATCATGAAACTAATTAACTGAAAATTAATCAGAGCATGGTAATCTGGAACAGATATTTCTAAGGGATTATCTAAGCACATAATTATGCTATTTTCCATAATGGAACTGCTGTGCACAATCCCTAAGTCCCTAAATATCACACCAGGTCTGCATCCCAGAAAAATTAGAACACCAAGGTGATGGCAGTGTGATAACAACAAGCACTGCACATGTACGTATTACAGTAACACTACCAGTAGCATAGAAAAAGACTGATGACATTTGTTTTGAGCATACTGAAATTAAAACACCATCACTCTGCATTCTTATACTTAGAGCATAGGGGGATCCCTGTAAAAGACACCATAGGAAGGCCACCCCTGATTATGATTTTATTTAATTGATTTTTCATTCAATTAATATGATTTTGTTTCATCATGCAATGTATAAGACAATTTCTGTTCAGTTGTTCCTTCTTTGTCTATGTATACATGATAAAAATTATAAGATGAGTAATAGAATGTCTTTAAGTACACAGATACGAAACAAAAGAAATCTTCCAAATCCCATATACATGTATAACTAACTAATCAATATGCATGAATCATGGCTATTATCTAATATCATGATAAGAGCACAATAATTTCAGCATTTACCGTTTACATTCTAATGAACGCCCCTCTCCCTTTTGACATTGAGTTACGTTAATTAATGTCCCCATGTTGGAAAATGTAACATCCCTGTGAGCATTTATTACAGAACATTTCTTTAATCATAAAAACTATACCTTATGAAACCAAAATTGCCACTTGTAATGCACATAGCAAAAATTAGTTTTATAATTATTGACAGTACAGGAACATATAATTTGTCAAATAATTTTTTACAGAACATTCTACAAATAGTGAATATTTAAATTTCATACATTTGTTTATTTTTATCCAGTTTTCTAAATTTGATTTTATTAAAGCTTTCATCATTGAACATCTGAAGCCATTATATCAGTTTAAATAACTAACATAATTTATGTTATTTGTATCTGGAAATCTAAACCGTAACAAGGTTTTACATAAGGTATATCAATACATTTGTATAATACAGTCTTTCAATTGATGTTTGTACCTGGACATAAAAATATTATAAACTGCAACATAAAACTATATGTATTTCAAACGTGAAGTGATCTACATGTATGTTGTACTAAAGCATTTGACATCCCACACCCCTCTTCCATTTTTGATCTAATGAAACATTTTTACAGCACCCATACAGTTTGTCTTCTAAGATCAAAACCTTTAATGTTTTGCTATTAATTGTTATGTTTGTTTTTAAGGTCCCATGGTGATTGTACCTCTTTAGTGCTGGTGAAAGGAGTCTTAATAAAGGTGTCCCTTTGTAAATGCAGGCACCTCCTGTATTCTAGCTTTCTTACATGACAGAATCCAAAAATCCTGATGAGATAATATAAACCTGCTAACTTGGACGGCAGTGACCAACAGTTAAGTGATTTGAAGACAGTGACCTGATAATTGTAATAACCATGCAGTTTGAAGATTTGTTCAATTAATTTATTGCAATAGAAATAATCACAACATGACATTTCAAGAGAATGTTTGCTCCTCTTAGCATGGTTTGACAATACCCAGGTATCAAACTGTAAAACCCAACCCAGTTGGTTTCAGTGGGCTAACATGTATTTTACTGGCTGTAACCAATTTCAATTCTTCATTATTTTTAGTTAAAATGAAATGATTACGAAAGAATATAAGTCTACAGTGACCTATTAAAATGGTCACTGACCAAGGTTGAACCATTAAAAGTTCACATTGACCTTAATCCTTTGTAGAGTGCGATTGCCGTCCTCTTTGTTAAAATATAAATCGGCAAACACAGTTTAATATCAGGTTCGCAGTAATGTTATTTCACGTTTAATTTAACTTTTATTGTGCCCTATGGCTATTGGCCAATCTATTTTGCTCAACACTTACAGTGACCGAAGGCATCAGCGAAATTCAGATCAATAAGTGTCCAAACTGCGGTTGTGTACCGAGGCATTACAGATGACCTTGAATAAAACCAGCAGTAACTGAATCGATAATAAGCTAAAAATTTGTTATTTTAGACAAAGTCTTTGTAAGATAACTACGAAAAACTTAAGACTGCAGAATGAAGAACGCTGGCCTTAATCTCTAAGAGTTGACAAAAATCTAATATCATTACTATAATAACAATAATGTATCATGTATAACATGTCGTTAGCTATAAATTGTGTAATAATGAGGCCTTAATTGGCATTCAATTAAGTATGCCAAAATATTTTAATTCTTACATTGCATTTTTCCATAAATTGTAAAGAGAACCAGCTAGGCCTTTCAAAGTGAAACTTTGCTTGAAATTGTGAAGTTTTAGCTTGATTTTCCTTTAAATTGTAAAAAGAAATTAACATTTTCTTTTAATTCAATGGTAAAAATGAACATGTTTCAACTCTGGTACTAATACATCAACATGTTTTGAAACAAGTAAGCATTGCATAAGTAATATAATTATCATCAAGCTAAATTTAATTTACAACTATAATACCATAAATCGATGTTCAATTTAAACACGATGACTTTAATAGATATCAATTTACCTATGACGTTTATACAGTATTTATTTTAGTTTCATTGTGTAGGAAGCTATATAAGCTTATAGGAAATTATTTAAGTTTTTGTCTAGATTGAAAGACTGAAAAGTCCATTTAGGATATTTATATTAATTAGCAATATAATATTGCTTGACATAACTGCATAATCATACTCATAGATACTACAACAGTGGTAAATTCCTGAAAACAAAGCCCTGTCAAAAATGATTATCTTAAGTCAACTTTATTTATAAGCAAAATTAAATTAACAACATAATATGAACTATAAGCTAACTACATGTATATTACTTTTACATTTAACAGTATAAAGGGATATAATTGACTATATAACATCTTTTATAATTTTTGTTTATTATCTCCCTTGAATAAAAATTTATCTTGCATGCAGTCATCAAATTTAGCACTAGCCCCGTGGCCCATGGCCAGTGAAAAATAGTTCGGCCCCGTGAAAATTTTAAGAAAATTTAGTTAAATACGTATATAGTAGAATAAATTTAGAACTGGAATTCGGGCTAGTAAATTCGAAATCTTAAATTCATTGACTGTGCATGCTATTAAGTTTAACAATGACAACATTTTTATTTTTAAGAGAATTTGATGCAGGATGATTAGAAAAATGTTGCGTGCACATTGGATTTAGAAGCAACTCGTCCTGCAGGACGAGTGAATTTGAAAATATTTGTTGATGCCTGCATGAAGGTTAGATATAATTATACACAGTTCAAAATACATGAGACAATTTCTACTTCTGAGAATTGAAACAGGAAAATATTAATTTCTTGTATATCAGACATGTGTTTTTGTAAGTTTTACTTTTACCCATGCTGAAAATTTCATCTAGCATGGGGGTTCACATGCTCTAAAATGACATTATTTTACCATGTTTTATGAATGGACTGTGTTCTAAGGAAAACTTTGCTATGAATGAAGTTGTAAACTCATATGCTGTACTATTAGTAAATAGTAACAAAG